ATAGTGTTGTTATTCCATTGCCTTGATGAATAAGAACATCTGGCTTTCATCTCTCCATACTAATCTCTTTATCAAAAGGTCACACCTTTGGTATTTACTCTTGAATAAGCTTTTTATTCTTTACTTGGCCTGGTTGATAATTTTCCAAATCTTTATGTCCTGCTTCCCTTCTCTTTTAATTTTAACTTGCATCTTGAAATTATTTCTTCTTACATTTCACTAAAAACAGTTAAGAGAAGCCATGCAGCTCCTTCAATATTTTGCTTATTTTTTCCACCAAATATCTTAGTTCTTCACTCTTAAATTCTGCCTTCCACAAAACCCGAGACCATGAATGTAATTCAGCTATGTTCTTTGCCACTTTATAACAAGAATAGTCTTTATTTCAGTTTTCTATAACATATTCCTCATCTTAATCTGAGATCTTATCAAAATGTTCTTTACTGTCCATATTCTACCAACATTCTGCTCATGACTACTTAGATAATCTCTGCGACTTAAGCTGTCTACAGTTCTCTATTTTTTCTGAGACTGCACCAGAATCACCCTTCATGCTCGTTCACAGTAATCTTCACAATCTTCATGGCAACCTACGCTGTTTCCAGCCTGCTCTTCCAAGCTCCTGCTCAGTTCCAAAGTTGCTTCCACATTTTTAAGTGTTTGTTATAGCAACACTCTGCCTCTCCAGTACAAATTTGTGTTAGTTGATTTTGTAGGGCTCTAAAAAAATACCCCAGACTGGGTAATTTATAAAGAACATACCTTTATTTTCTTACGGTTGTGGAGGCTGGAATGTTCAAGGCACCAGCATCTAGTGTCTTGTGAGGACCTTCATGCTATGTCCTCACATGACAGAAAGCAAAAGACAAGTAGGACAAGCATCTTCACATGACAGAAGAGCAAGAGAGAGAGAATTCACTCCTGTAAGCCCTTTTTATAATGGCATTAGTCCATTCATTATGTTGGAAACTTCATGATCTAAACTCTTCCCACTAGGTCCTACGTCCCAACACTGTTGCGGTGAAGATTATATTTATACATTCACATTATAGTAATCTGTGTCTGGATTAGATGCTTTTTTTTTTTTTGCAGATGAATTTCTAGTTATTGCAGCACTATTTGTTGTATAGATTGCTTTTGTTCCTTTATCTAAGATCAGTTGACTATATTCATGTGGGTCTGTTCCTAGGCTCTCTAATCTACTCCATTAGTCTATTAATATTTATCTATTCTTTCCACGATACCACATAGTCTCATTTGCTGTAGCTTTATTAATTATAATTTTGACAAATATTTTGAGCTAGACACTGTTAGGAGTTGGTGATAAAACTGGAGGCAAAATCAAACATGTATTTCAACTCAGATACAATAACTCACTGAGAAAGATATCAACCAACCAGTCTTGCAAATAATCTAAAAAATCTCAAATCCAAGAAGTGCTACCCAAAGGTAATGGGAGTGGGAGATGGGGAAAGTTGCATTGCTTTCTGAAAACTTGTGATAGAATTTTTTTAGTTAATTGTTATTAGCCAGAGAGCAAAATGAAGAATTTTTCAGCAAGGTGTAGGAGAATGATAGGGATAGAATTAGAAATAATTTTTGGACAGTGCATGTTCAAGCTTTGTGATAGGAGGAAGCATGATGAAATTGAGGAACAAATGTAAATCCTGTGCAGGCAGAAAAAGCTATGGGGGCAAGGTAAGCTGGATCACAATATCAAGTTGTTGAAGCAGACAGTGACCAGAGTACAGGATGCTTTATAATCAAGTTTAGGACTTTTATATTTATACTAAGGATTAATGCTAAGCCATTTCAGAGTTTTAAGCAAGGTATGTGTTTGTGTATGTGTGTTGGGGGGGTGAACTTGATTAGTCGTTTTGAAAGTGGCTTTCTGATCATCTTTCAAAGAAGTGCTTGAAGGGGAGGGCAAGGATGAATGCTGGGAAATAGCTAGGTGATTACTACAGTGGTTTAAATGGAAGATGATGACAACGAACAGAATGGTGGTGGAAAGAAGACAGCAAGCAAATTCGAGAAATGTTAAGAAGGGAAAATAGGCAAATATTTGTAAAGAATTGGAGATGGTCTTGGGGGATAATATGGTGTGAAGTAGATTCCAGATGTTTGGATTATGTGACTGTTTGGATGATGGTGGCATTACACATTGAGTTTGGGAGTACCAGGAGAGAGTTAGGATTGGGAAGTACAGATAATGTTTGTTGAAATCACAATTTTCATCAACTTAAATTTGAGAAAAGCTTAAAAAATTTAGGGATACCAAGCTGTCTTCTGGTAATAGGAGAACAAGGAAATATAAGCAAAATGATATTAATAATTTAGGAAAATAGGTTGTTTTCAGATAATATTGATGGCATTTGTGTTGGGTCCAGATGGAAAGGTGGATAAATGAATAGATGTAAAATAAGAATCTATGAAGAGTGGACACCATTCTAAGAGGGAAGACCACCATGTTCATGGAATGATTAGAAGGCACGTTTTTGCAGAAATAGGGGGTAGTCTAAACTGGAAAGGCCAGTTAAAGTCAGGACTTTTTAAGGCTTTATAACGCCTGGGTATCATGCCATAGAAAATATTGTCATCATGTTTCTTAAGCAATGGAGGGGAAAATTGTATAGAACAACAGCTCCTAAATTGTAGTTTGTTGACCAGTTAGTATTTCCAAGAACTTTCAAGGTATCTGCAAGTTCAACACTCCTCTAAGACATTTCTTGCCTTTTTTCACTATGCTAATATTTGCAGTAATGAGGCAAAAGCAATGATGAGTAAAACTGCTTATGCCTTAGTATGAATCAAAATACTAGCAGCAAATTATATGAGTAAATATTGTATTATTCACCATTACGAATGTTTAGTAAAAAAAAAAAGAATGAAAAAAACATAATTTCACTTAAAAAGGTCCTAGAAGAAACAGAAATAAGTTATTAATTATATTTAATCTCAGTCTTTGAGCATGTGCTTTAATATTATATGTAACAAAATGAGAAGTATGCATAATGCACATGCATTGCAGACCAAATTATCATGGTTGTATTGAGAAAAAAGCACTAGCATATAGTTTTTTAGTAGTGAGATGAGCTAACGACTTATGCAGAAAAGAGCTACTATATACGTCAGATATGACTTCCTATCTTTAGAAAAGTCTCCTTGCAATATTGGCCTTTGGATGGCATCTGGGACTTGGATTTAGGATGTGTTCTCACCATTTCCTAACATGTAACCATGTTAATATGTAATGGGATTTGAATTTTTATTTTAAGATGAATTAATAAATATTTTATAGTTTTATTACTTATCCTTTCTAATGCAGCATATATCAATAGGTAGAGTCCACATAAACAAAAGCTCTTTGAGGTCCTTAATAACTTTTAAGAGTGTAAATGAGTCCTGAGGCAAAAAAAAAAAAAAAAAATTCAGAGTCACCAGTAAAGAATAGGAATACTTGTACCTGAGGGGCAAGTTAAGGGATTATTATAACATTCCCAATGTTGAAGAAGAATTTAAATTAGAGAATCATGACCAGCAAGGAAAGAAACAAATTACTTAGGACGTTTCATAATTAAAAATAACACACCTAGATAACTGAATAAATGACTGAGGGGAAGTAAAAGGAAAAGTTGAGCAAGGCTAAATTTGTGAGTCTGAGTGTTTTAAGGTTTAAACAGGGAGGTATTAATGAATAACAGAATTTATGAAAGTAACTGTACAATCCTTCTAAATATTTGTCATCACAGAACTAGGATAATTTTGTCATTATTCTCTGTTTCAAAGATAGGATTTTTTGTTAAAACCATCAGTCAACAATTTTTTAGAATAATATTGGATAAACTATCAATGCAAGGCTAAGCAGGAAGAATGAATAAAACGGTTATATATTAGTACATTACTTATTGCTCTGGAGCCTTGCCTCCAACCAGTCAGCCCTTACAGCTAGTTCCCATCTGTTAAATATTCCTCTCATTTTGTATTGGCTTATGTATTTTTTTGTTATTTTTAGAAACACTGGTAATACATCATTATTGAAAAACTGTTGATTATGATTGACTAACACTTGTAGCAGAAGACATTTCTAACCACAGGGATAAGTATTTTTCTATTTGGGCAATGTTGGAATGTCAGTGGTCAGAAATAATCTCTTTTAAGAAATGCCATTATCAGATGATATCTTAGGGTTCACATAACTTTTGTGATATTATTGATATTATTTGTGAAGCTATAGAGGACTTTAAAAACGTTGATATTATTTATGAAGCTTGATATTATTTATGAAGCTATAGAGGACTTTAAAAACGTTACATTTCCTAACACATGATGCACATAACTCCATATACCTTAGAAAGAATCTATAGATATTTCATCTATATACCCATCAATCTCATCACTTTGCCTGATATTTACATTTTAAAAAAGTAGAGGGAATAAATTACTAGAAATCTGAAAGATCAATAAATTAAAATATACTGCTTTAATATTCACTTTATGGAATACCAGTAACATTTATATCATTACCCAATAAAACTGTCATCTTAAATATTGCATCTTTAGAATAATAATTAAAAACCAATATAGTAAGCAATTCAATATGCTTACTGCTAATTCTTGTGCCATGTGATTTAGTTGTTAATTATTATAGATTATTATTGCAATTTAAAGTAATTAAACTATTAAAACAATTGTTTAACATATATGTATAAACACAAACACATAAGTACATACAAAGTAGTTCCCACTTATTAATGGAGTAAACGTTCCAAGATCCCCAGTAGATGCCTGAAACAATGGATAGAACCAAACTCTACTAATATATACACTGTGCACAAATTTCTTTTCCCTTCTTTACAATTTCAGGGATAGAAGAGTCACTGTTACAATAGATATTAGCAAGCTCAGCATACAATGATTTTTTTTCTTTCCTTATTATGTCAGGAACTTCCACCTTTTCCCTTTTTTCCCTTCATGGTCTTGTTCTGTTACCCAGGCTAGAGTGCAGAGGGGTCATCATAGCTCACAGCAACTTCAAAGTCCTGGACTCAAACGATTGATCTGTCTCAGCCCTCCCAGGGACTACAGGTATGTGACATCATCCCCAGCTAATTTTTTTTTTTTTTTTTTTTTTTGGTAGGGAGCAGTAGAGACAGAGTCTCACTATGTTACTCAGGCTGGCCTTGAACTCCTGGCCTCAAGTGATCCTCCCCTCTTGGCTTCCCAAAGCGCTAGGATTACAGGCATGAGCCATCACACCTGTCCCATCTTTTTACTTAAAGGAAGCACTTCAGGGCTTCTGTTTGGTATATTGGAATTGCCAGCACCACTACTCTTGCATTTGGGGGCATTACTGAGTTAAATAAGGGTGACTTGAACACAGCAGTGGGATACTAATTAATCTCATTACACAGATTACAAAATAAGCACCAGATGGGTAGTACAGAAATCATGGATATGCTGAACAAAGGAATGATTCATGTACCAAGCAGGATGAAGCAGGAAGATGCAAGATTTTATTACACTACTCAGAATAGCAGCAACTTTACATCCATGAATTTTTAGTCCTGGAATTTTCATTTAACATATTTGAACTAGGGTTGATCCCAGGTAACTGAAACTGTAGAAAGTGAAATTGTGGATAAAGGAGGGACTACTGTAATATTTCTCTGTTTTAAATGCCATTTTTAATGCCTTTATTGAATGGATAAAATTCAGTCATTAAAAGCATATATATATATATAAAAAACACTAATATAGTGATAATATATATATTTCAGCTGTGTAGTCTGAGCCTTCTCATGAATACCTTAAGCAGGTACTAGAATAATATACAAAACAAAAAACACATCAAACTGTGTACAAATCATCAGTAACTATAAAATTAGGGAAATGGTGAATTTTCATTTTAGAAATAAACTTCTGATATTATAAATATTACCAACGAGTAAACCAACATCAGAATCTGAGACTTACTCAATAATTGAGAAAAAAAATCAAGATAAAATATGTTATCTAACATATAAAATTATGTTCCTGGCACAGTCAACTACATTTGTCTTTAATTTGAGCTGCTATGGCAATACTTGTCAACTTTACTCTGAGAAAATTAAAGAATTTAAAATCATTAGTGAGTATAAACGGGTATTCAACTTTTAAAAATTACTTAAGATTCTTGGATGTCAATTGACATAAACCTAACTCAAACTAATTTATGGAAAAATATAAACAATATTTCTTCAGAGAATCCAATGAAAATGTAAACCACCAAAATGCAGATGGCAGTGATAAAATGGGCTTATGAACAACTGAAGCAGGGACTACAGTGCAATCAGAACTCTCTTTATACTAACTTATTTTTCTTTCAAAAATTCTGGCTTTATCTTCTTTCATTTTAAAACAGTTTTCTTTAAACAGCAGGGAATGTAACCAATGAACACTCCAATGTTTTTATGACTTACAACTTTCATCAACATAAGGAAATTGTTTTTCTTCTAGAGTAATAGTTTGAAAAACCTCAGGCAAGAACTCTGACTGAGGTAATTTGGTCAGTGTCCACTTTAAAATTAATCAACAATGATATGGTATTCTCTCATTAGCCTAGCTTGGATTGTGGATTAAGGGACTCATTTACTTGTGTATTAAATCAAGGAGTTTTTCCCAGGGGCAGTAGCATTTGAGGCCCATTTATTTGAATTGGAAGCTTTCACAGGGAAGAAGGGAAAAAATATCTGTCTTGAAGGCATTGGAATAGATATTTACCACATCTATTTTTTATGATGTTTCACGGATTTGGAGCAAAATTATTTTGGGACTAGCTGTCACATACCAAACATTTCTCAAGGTTCATTATAATCTGCTTTTTAGAAGTTCCTACCATCTTTAAATAATACCTTAATAATTTTTTGAAATTCCAAAATCTAACTCACATGAACTCCAGGAACTAGTCTATTTAGTTAGTGTTCAGATAAAACCCACAATTTCTCTTTTTCTTTTTAAGTTTTCCTTTGATGATATGGCCTCTTTCTGACAATATTGAAAGCAGTAGTTACAACATAGTGTGAACCAATATACAATATTAAGCCCTCGAGCTGATGGAATGGACCTCCTTTTGGCCAAAGGGACCCCTCAAATACCCTAAAGTTGAGTCGCTGGCCACAAGAAGGGAAGTCAGACATGCCTCATCACGCCCCTCCCCTTCTAGAAGATATCCTTTGTAACTCATTAACAGGCCTAAGGCCATGCAAGACAAAGCCTAACTCATACCTGCTGGTCTTCAATTTATTTAACAGATCACTCAAGTCTGAATATATGTTCAGTGGCTTGTCTCTGCTCAACAGACTTCCTTATTTTAAAACATTCCAAGCCTTGAGTCAAAGTTTAATTTCTTTAACCAATTACAAATCAAGGAATCTAAAAACCCACCTATAACCTGTAATTCCCGCTTTGGGATGTTCTACCATTTCAGGCCAAACCAATGCATGCCTTCCATATACTGATTTATGACTTTATGTATGTATAATTCCTGCCCCCCTGAAATGTATAACAACAAACTTCAATCCAACCATGGTGAGACTACTTGCTCAAGGCTTCATGGCTGTGGCTCTGCAGACCATGGTCACACATATTTGGCTCAGAATAAACCTCTTTGAATTATTTTGGGTTATTTTCTGTTGACATAGCTGCCTGCCAGAAATCTCTCTGCCCACCAGCAGAATGAATGTAGCTGCTTGAATCCTTTAACATTATTTCTGAGACTTCTCATACTGTGAGAAGAGGGTGCAATATCTTTCCCATAGTGTCATATCTTCCATCTCAGGCAAAGCTGCTTGCAACAAAGCTGGTGACACCTGTCATCATCAATATCTAATGCAAGAGAGGTGAGAATTACTCCTTACAGCAGTGCACTAGAGGAACTTTATTTTTGGTCTTATTGGGTGGATACCTTGATTTGATCATTACATATTCTGTGCATGTAAAAAACACTCACATGTATCCCATATCATTTTAAATATAATTTCTGTCTCTCAGGTTAATTTAATTCCATAAAGAATCATTTACAAGTCAATCTGTTCCCCCATCTGATCATTCTCCCAAGTATCTATTCATCCTTCCTAGGAACCATTTGTTGCCCCTCAAGAGAATAGAACGATATTCCTCATCTCCTTCTACCCTCTAAAATGAGGGTATAACTAACTTCCAAACCCAGAAATTGGGTAATCACTCTGTGATTTTCTCTGTGCATGCAGTAAATAAATATCTTTCTCTTATTAATCTGCCTCATTGTGATTTGATCTTTCAGTGAAACTTCCAGGGGCAACAGGTAAGTTTCCCCTCACACCACAGCTCAATTAACAGCAACAGGACTCAAGTAAATATCCAAGAATGTTGAGCAAATACTGAAAAGTGATAAATTAGTGAAACCCTCAAAAAAAAAATAAAGCAAGAAATCAATGCAAGGAATTCAGCATGAATTTCTCTTTAAAAAGAAAAAAAACTGAGAAATAATGGTAAGCAATAAATAAGCAAACATAGAAATGACTAAAATGTGCCTGACCTCAAGAAGAAATTGCTTTTGAGATTGGAATTATTTAACACCTAGAAACATTATTGGAAAGTTTGAAAAAATGATAAAGATAATATTAATAAATATCAGAAATTATAATACATGTCATAAAAAGGATAAAGAATCTGACATAATAATATTTAATATATAATATTTATCCGAAGGTGGGATGTTAGAAGAAAATTATTGTTGACTTATAACTTACATAGTTATATGACTTTTATATTTATATGACTATATAAAATTATATGATTATAATTTTATATTTTTTGAAAGTATTAAAGAGGAAATTTAAAATTAACACATTTTCTGAAGTGAAAGTTTAAGAAATACACAGATTCAACAAGATTCCAATTAAAATATAAGCAGATATTTTTAGGGAAATCATCAAGCTAATTCTAAAACCCATATGAAAATACAAAGTTGAAGAACATACACAATATGATTTCAAAGCTTATTATAAAGCTGTAGTAATCAAGAAAACATGATATTAGCCTAAAGATGGACAAATAGATCAATAGCATACTGACTGAACATATATATGTGTTTAACTGATTTTTCAAAAAGATGCTGATGTGAATGTAAAATAGCACAACTACTTTGGAAAGTAAGAAAATTTTGTTTTGATTTGTTTTAAGAAATTAAATTAAATATAAAACTACTGTATGACCCAGTCATTTCATACATAGGTATTTACCCAAAAGAAATGAAATCATGTATTCATCAAAGAATTGGTACATTAATAGTCATTGGATAAGATTAAAAAACTGAAAGCAATACAAATGTGCAACAACATGAGAATGGATAAACAAAGGTATTATTTATATATGGTGGAGTACTACTCAGCAAGGATAAAAGAAAACAGAGTAATTATGTTGATTCAAATAAGCTGGATTTTTTTAAAGTACATACTGCATAATTTAACTTACACAAAATTTTAGAAAATGCAAACTAATACATAGTGACAGAAAGCAGAGCAATTATAAGGGAAGAAGGTACATGCAACAAGTAGAGAAGATGTGAAGAGCAGGGTAGTATCGCAAAAGAAAAGAGCACAAGGAAACTGGGGAATGAGGAATATCTTGATCCTGGTGATGGTTTCACGTTGAATACATATGCTAAAATTTACCAAATTTAATACTTTAAATATGTGTAATTTTGAAAAGTTATACTTAACACTGAATTCTAAACATAGTGAGGATATGAAAGAAGTGGAGCTCTATTGTATGGATGGTAGGAGGGTAAAATTGTTTGGAAAAATGTTGGGCCATCTTTATAAAATTAAGCAAACATTGATATAATGCAGAAAAAAAAGATTCATCTTTCTTGTATTCTTTCTTGGAAAAAAAATTATGTGGATATACACTCCATGTAAATAAAGAAATAATATTAGAATATAGAAGACTGGGGATCCAAGTATCAATTTGACTTAATCCTAGTTTGAACAAGAAATTCAGAAAAACAGCAGCAGTATTAAAAATTAATTAGGCTTTGTAAGAATAAGAAGCAAGAAAAATTGGAATCATTTTAAAAAATATTATGATTAAGAGATATATGACCTCAATAAAGGGGAGTTATATTAGCCTATGCCAATAAGAGAAAGGCAAAACAAATTATTAGGAAAACAAAAATCTATTCAAGATATGCCAAATACAAAGCAGCCTAAATGAAATAAATTGGAACTGTTGATATTGGAAAGTAGAAAGTACCTTTTAGATACTAGAACTTCAGAAAGTAATTGTATTTTCATAATCCTAATAAGTTAAATGATCATTTAAAATCCTATATTCAAACATTATCTTAAAAACACAAACATTGAATTTAAAAGTACCATAGCAAGTAGATATTAATTACTTTGAAAGGTAAAATAATGGTGCAACAGAAAGAAAATGGATGGCAGGTGTCAGGGAGAACACAGGTAGGAGCCAAAATTTGCTAATCTGACAAAATGAAAAATTAAGTGATATTATGTTGAAAAAAATATACATATATGGTTTGAGGAAAGAATATGGAGAAAGGGTGTAGTGCAACTGCATTTGGTTTCTGATGTTTCTCAACAGGCAGGCAGAAGATATTATGCACAAAGAATGGTAAAAAACACTAGATGTGAAGTAATTGTACTGAAGATATTTAGATTTTAAAAAAGCTGAATGTTATGGTAACTAGGAGTAAGAACGGAGGGTTACTTGAGTATGATTCTTTCTCTATACACGATTTTTTCTCTATGTAGTATGATTGTCTTATTTATATACGTTTCTATGTTGTAAAATATAATTGAAAAATGTATGGTATATATTATCATCAATGGGTTTTAGCATTAAATAAAAGTGGCAGCAAGATAATGCAACTGTCCTAGTAACTCTCCAGATGTGCATGAACTTGCCTGAGCCAAATTCAGGTTCATTCAAGAGCCCGTGTTACACATACATGCTAAAAGAAAGGTGGCTTTTTGTGCAAGCCTGCTAATCTCTTTACATGCTTTGTACATTGATATTGCTAATGAAACTGTCACTTTCACTGTCCAATTATTCAGTACTACTTACTAGTCACTTATTTTATGCCCAAATATTCTCAATTGTGTTTTTATATATCATTCTATCCCCAGAGCAACACTCTACACATCACTAGGGCAGGGATGAAGTCCAATATTTATTTATTTCTCTAGAAGGTAATATAGTTGTAACCAGGCCTCCCATTGAACAAATTTCAATGACTCCTATATAGTCCTCTCCCTTAACTAACTACTTGACATTTTGAGTTGTTTCCCAGAAATGATGAATGTTCTGCAAAACAAAGGAGTTGAGATTCTGAAGACCCCTGGCCAAGATTCCTGTTGCCAAGAATCACCATCTCTGACATGACCTGCCCCAAGGTACCACATAGCCCCTTGTTTGTTATACCATGACCTTCTCAAGGTACGTGGGATCTCTTTTAAAAGCCCATGATCTCCATTAGTCGGGGAGATAGATTTGAGACAGCATCTCTCATTTCCTTGACAAGATGTCTGTCGTATTAAAAATTCCTTTCTTCCTTGACAATACTTGTCTCAATAATCAGATCTTTGTGCGACAAGCAACTGGATCTAGATCAAAATCCCTTTGCAGTTTCAACAACATATTCTCTTGCAAGTAAAATAAATAGCTATCTGTGGAATGTGATGATGAAATCCATGGATACTAAAGAAAAAAAAGAGTATTCAGAGAATTATTTATATTTTTGGCATGTGTTTATTAAAAGAATGATACATAATCTCCATACAGAAAAAAACTAGGAAGCGTTCAGCATTCTTGATACCTTTTCTTGATTTGTAAAAAAATCTTCACAGGGGTAAGAGTAAAAATAGAGAATAAGAATATGAGGGAAGAGAAGAGAAGAGGATTTTAAGGGAAGAGGTGAAGTGGGAGGAGAGGAGAGAAGGCATAAGAAAGCAGGAGTGAATAGTGTCAAGGGATTAGAAGAAATGGGTTACTTACCATTATATTGATACCCACTCAACACTGATCTCTCCCCCTGGAAACATTGTCATGACATATATAACTACTCAGAGGATTTATATCATCCCCCAAGCTTGATTTTGCTTTATTCCTACATGCCTTATTTAAACATATTTTAACCTTTTTTTAAAGTCAGTTTTCAGAATTGTAGGACAAAAACATCATGCAATATTCTCTGGAATAGTACCACAACAAAGCCAACTTAAACTCGCATTTGAAAGACAGGTGTGGTTTGAAATATGACAAGGAAATCAAGGATCACAGGTCAATCAACAGCAGTGGGCTTCAGAGTCAGTAAGAGAAAGAAGCAGACCCGAATAAAAGCAAGTTTGGAGCCCTTTTTTTTCTTTTATCTCCTCCCCTCCAATTTCTGACAACAGAACCATACATATATCTGTCCATTTATGCTGCCTGTGGAGCTCTAATGACTACTCTGCTAAGGCATCCTAGTGAGCTAGAGGTAGAAAATAATGACTGTCGGGTAGAAGATGTCATCCAGAAGGTCAAAGAGTGAATCTTGCAAGGCTTCTGCATAGGAATGAAATGCTATCCAGTCTAGCTGCTGAGGTGCATTCAATCTGGCACCAAAGTAATTTGTCTCTAAGCAACTTCTGCTGAAGTAAAGAAGCACACATTATAGCACTCATGACTGAAATGGGTTCAAAAGTTCAGTAATCAAATTGCAGTTACAAACTTCCCATGAATTCATAGTTCTTGATATCAAAACTATGGACTATGAGTGGCAAGTCCATTCAATTTGTTTTTTTTTACATATTCACAAACAACTATGAACTATTTTAATGTATTATTTTCCAGGTTAACATATCACAATATTAAAATGGTAATATTTACAACTCTCAGAAGTCCTCAAACTTACAGCTAAGTGAAGAAATCCATAACCAAGAGAAGCAGAATGGGTGGGTTTTGCACACAAATTGTCTTATGGATTTTTGTATTATTTTCTATTAACTTTATCTAATTGAGGAATATTATAATGTCTCAGTCTGTTTTCTGTTGCTATAACTAAGTATCTGAGACTGGGTAATTTATAAAAAAAAGAAATATATTTTTTATGGTTCTGAAGGCTGGGAAGTCCAAGGTTAAGGGGCTGTATCTGGTGAGGGCCTTGCTACTGTTGAGGACTGTGTAGAGCCACTAGGTGGCATAGGGCATGATGTGGCAAAAGGAGCTGGTAAGAGACTGCCAAACTGGCTTATTGACTCTCGTGATAATTAACCTATTTCCTCAATAGCCCATTAATCTATGAATGAATTAACCCATCCTTGAGGGTAGAGCCCTCATGACCCAATCACCTCCCAAACACTCCTCAACACTGCTTCTTTGGGACCCAAGTTTCCAACACATGAACTTTTAAGGAAGACATTCAAACAATGCTATAATATATAACATATTTCTTTGTTCAGTTGTCTTAGATTAGGATAACAAATCTATTGTCATGAAAGATTGACCATTAGGTTATGGGCATCTCATACCAGGTTTCAATTTCCCTTTGAGATATGTGAACATTACTCTATCGGGCAAAAACTAAAAAGATTCATCAACATATTATTGTCTCCTTGAGTCACAGACACAATAGTTTTCCTGTCTACTCCTTTTTCTCTAGGTAGTGTTTGCATACACACAGATTTTTTGTTTATCTGATATAGATAGAGCAGTTTAAAGGTGTAAAAGAAAGAAGGAATTGGCTGCATATGTGTCTGTTTGAGTAGAATTAAGGGCCTTCAATAGCATTCTTTCTAAATAATGTCAGTAAAGTCAAAGAAAGAGAAAAATTGTGATCATTTAAGGAGTAGATACACTTTGCAAAAATGTATGTAAATGAATTGATTTTGATGATTAAAAGATACTAAATGTCTCTTGTAAAGTTAGAGATGAAATTAATTGGAAATGTATCTAGTAATCATAGTAATGATCATAAAAGGATGCTCTGTATAACCTTTATTAAGTACACAGAGTGTTTCATACATTGCTAAGTGTTTTACATGCATTAACATTTATTTCTTTCCATGATTCTCTGAGGTAAATACAACTATTAGATGAGAAAACTGAGCCTTGTTAATCTAAGATTAAATAACTTGCCAAAGACCTCTCCAAGGTGACTGCTGAGCCTCGCTATTTAACTCCATAGTCCTTATTCCTAACTACTTTGCTTAGCAGTGATTTTATATTCATCATAATACTATCCTAGAGAAGACAACTGTAACCCTTAAACCTGTTATATATCATTTTATAATTTATATATTGTTATAAATTAACATATTCACATAAAAATAGGCATCTCTTTTATCAATCTAGATAAAATATCATAATATTAAATATAGTTTCACAGTAATATGCCTTCATTTCAAGGAATGGAGTCAATGTCTCTCCTTTTACTTGTATATCAAAAATTTCAATAATGAATGAGAGTCCAATGATAACATTTAAACAAAGTCCCACAGAGGAGTAGGCATTTTTTTTATCTTTTACTCTTTACACAAGATATTCTTAATAAAAAATCTACATATATACATACTTATGCTCTCTTGGATCCATTTACAAGTTAAACAACTTTTGCAAGATTGAAATTCCAGTGTGTGCGTGCGCGCGCGCGTGTGTGTGTGTATACACACACACACACACACACACACACACACATATGTATATTGAAGATAATCCAGTACTGCCTTTTCCCACTATAACCTTCTCTTTCACAATATCTCAGGCAGGAGATTATCTAGCCTTTACTTGAATATTTCCATTGACACAGAGACCACAACTTTATGAAGCATCCCACTATATCTTCAAATAAATCTAGATATTAAGTGTATGTTCCTTATACAATAAATCCAAATATTAATTGTATGTTTCTTATATAATAGAGAGTCCAAATATGACTTTCTGAAATTCTATCTTTGGCCTTTTTTTTTTTTTTTTTTTGAGACAGAGTCTCGCTTTCTTGCCTATGCTAGAGTGAGTGCCGTGGCGTCAGCCCAGCTCACAGCAACCTCAAACTCCTGGGCTCAAGCGATCCTCCTGCCTCAGCCTCCTGAGTAGCTGGGACTACAGGCACAAGCCACCATGCCCGGCAAATTTTATATATATATATTAGTTGGCCAATTAATTTCTTTCTATTTTTATGGTAGAGACGGGGTCTCGCTCAGGCTGGTTTTGAACTCCTGACCTTGAGCAATCCGCCCGCCTCAGCCTCCCAGAGTGCTAGGATTACAGGCGTGAGCCACCGCGCCTGGCCTATCTTTGGCCTTTTTTTCTACCATATTTTGAGTGGTAAACAATTTTACTCTTTCCAAGTTACAACTTTCAATATTTTTAAAACAATTATTGAATCCTTTATTGGGAATTTATTTCCTAGGCATAAAATTCTTCAGAAGTTCCTCCTGCAATATGATTCTCTTACTATTCACTCACCTAAATTTTTTTGTCTAAATTGTATGACTATTAAGCAGGTTTAAGGATGAATTAGTGTTTTGGAGCACCGCAGCAAGGCATTTATAAAAAGATTCTTAATCTGAGATTTGTAGAATTTGTAGGATACATGGAAGTGATATCCAGAGAATTAGTGATCCCAATTAGTTAATTAATTAATTAATTTTAAACTTTTTTTAGAGATGGGATCTGGCTGTGTTGCTCAGGCTGGAATGCAGTGGTGCAGTCATAGCTCACTACAACCTCAAACTCCTGGGATTGGGCAATCCTGCCTCAGCCTCCCGAGCAGCTAGGACTACAGGCATATGATACCACACCTGGTTAGTTTTTAAATTTTTTGTATAAGTGGGGTCTAGCTGATCTATTGCCAGTATATATTTTTATTCAGATGTTTCAAAATATGATTGCTATTTTTTCTATAACTAAACAATTATTAATTTTTTTTTGAGGCAGGGTCTCGCTTTTTTGCCCAGGCCAGAGTGAGTGCCGTGGCATCAGCCCAGCTCACAGCAACCTCAAACTCCTGGGCTCAAGCAATCCTGCTGCCTCAGCCTCCCAGGTAGCTGGGACTACAGGCACGTGCCACCATGCCCGGAAAATTTTTTCTATATATATTAGTTGGCCAATTAATTTCTTTCTATTTGTAGTAGAGGCGGGATCTTGCTCTTGTTCAGGCTGGTTTCAAACTCCTGACCTCTAGCAATCCACCCGTCTCGGCCTCCCAGAGTGCTAGGATTACAGGCGTGAGCCACTGAGCCCGGCCAATTATTAATATTTTTATAAATACTGTTATGCAATGATTTCTTAGGCTTTTCTGGTTCAAATGATCTCTGTTTTATGATTATTATAAACTAAATTTTGTCCATTCAGAATTTATAGGTTGAAGTCTTAACCTTTAATGTGACTGTATTTGGAGATAGGGCCTTTACAGAGTTAAGTGAATGTAAAACGATGTTTGTACCCTCAGCCAAGAGGACTGATGTCGCTATAAAAAGAAGAACAGACATCAAGAACACATGCACAAGAGCGGCCATGTGAGGACACAGAGAGAAGTTGGGCATCTGCAAGTCAGGAAGTGAACACTCAAGTCAGAAGCCAACCCTGCCAGCATCCGGGTCTTGGCTGTCCAACCTCCAGAACTGTGAAGCAACATTTCTGTTGTTTAAGCCACTTAGACCATGGTATCCGGTTATGCCAGCCCGAGAAGATGAATATGATTTAAGTTCTTTCTGATACTTGTTTTATCTTTAGTACATCTTATATTCCCACATGTCCTTTCCAAAAGTAATCTGATATATTGGTGTATGGGAAATGGGGGTTCATGTGATTTGTGTCCTACAAGAAAATAATAGGACCTCGTGGTCTAATATTTATCTGGCTCTGATTTTGAGTGGTTGGTTGAATTTAGTCCTTGCCCTGGTGACTTCTGAGGTTCAGTGGCTGCCTTTCCTCATTTAGGGATGCCCAATCTTCCACTATCTGCAATGGGCAACAGTCAGACCTGCTGTCCAAGGCTACTGTTTCTAGTCTCCTATTCACTAATGTTACTCTATTGCTTCTGGGCTATATTCTTCATGTTGATGTGTTCTATTCTTAGGGAAGAAGATTATCAATTCTGTAACCTTATGTTGATTTTTGCCAATATGGTAGCTTCTAACATTCCTATACCATTGAGTTTCTACTTATTGCTGGGCTAAAGTAAGACAAGGGTATTTAGCTCCCATTTTTTTCTTCTTCTCTCATGTCTCTCTCACTTAGGGGGTAGGTAGGGGTGTATATTTCAATTCTATGTGCCTGAAACAACCCAGTGTCATTTTCCATATAATTTTTACCTTATGGCTTATAGTAAAATTTTATGATTCTGTCTTTCAGGTCTTTGTCTTGAGGAGAGCTAAAATAATTTATTGATACATAGTAAACACAGTACTTTTCCCCTTGCAAAACCTGAATTTAAAGATCATTTTCTTCTTGGTGACCAAATAAAACTTAATATGTGTGTTAAACGATGAATACCAAGTCTTTACTTCTTTTTCATTTTTGCTGCAATAATCCCAAAATACTAGGAAGCAAATTAATTAGTATAAAAGGATGGGGAGAGGGGAAAAGATGAGAAATTAGATACTAATACAGAGCAAATGTGAAAGGATTTTTAAAATGTCTGAAGATACTATCTTTACACAAAATGAATCTCTGGGTGTTGAGGTTATAGCAGTGAATGATATAGGCATGTGTATGTCTTTATGAGACTAAAATTTATTAGAAAAGATTAAGAAGAAGTTTTAAAATTTTTTCACCTAAAATATTTAATTGAAAATTATTATAAGTGCCAAGAGGGAGAGGTGATAAGTATAAGAATGGATGAAAGAGTCATCTGGGAAAGTCTTCACTGAAGAAATGACACCTGGGTTGAAAATCAAGAATGTAACAGCAACAACAAAGGCCTTAAGGAAAGTGAGAAGTTGGTGGGCTTAGTGAATAAATCGGTGGGTGTAAAGCCTTCAAGAAGGATCAGAGTGTGTCGGTGAAAGGAAAGAATGAGAGAGAGCAGGGGTAATACAAAACGAAGAAATAGTACCCAAGTTAACTCTTAAAAAAGAAGCAAGACTTATTTATTAGAGGAAATATTGGGCTAATATAAACAATAATGCGAGCATAGGGATGGTGTGATTTAGATAAGACTCTGGACTTTGGAATTTTGAGTTGATGCTGGGACAGGTTAAGAGTTTAGGGGCTTTTAAGAGGTAATGAATGTATTTTATATGTGAAAAGGACATGAGTTCTGGGAGTCTGGGGCAGAATACTGTGGTTTGAATGTTTGTCTTATGAAAACAAATAATTCAAAATTTAAGCTGTTGAAACTTTAAAACATTTTGAGCCTTAAGGGAATGTGCTTATGGGATCTGAGTTACGTATAAAACAGGTAGCTGTAACATAGAAAGATGTAACGTTTGTTTCTCTGATTATAGATCAGCCTTTTTTCCTACCTACACTGTTTTGTAAAACATTGTAAATGACTGAAGGACACAAGGGAAGACTGTTGATATTCATTATAGGTTATCTTCTTACTTCTCTCATATAAAGATTTCATAACTATCACATTGTCTAAGATAAAATTTTAAGTACACTCTTAAATTGGAAAGAAAATGAAAACAAGCTGTAAAGAAAACAAACTATATGGAAATGAAAACAAATTTTAACTAATTAAATTATTATAACTCAGAAACCAGCCTGGTACAGAAAATGTTATAATCCTACTATATATTTTTTTCTTTTCTGCATATATAAGCAAAACCTTAACTCTTGATTTCAGATCACTGTGGAGATAAGGGGAAACTTTTCCTTTACTCAAGAAGGTTTACTGAAAATTAAACTCACAACAAGGCAGATTGATAAGACAAAGAGTTTCATTTACTGTGGACATGGGAAGAATCTCAGAGTGATTAATAGGCTCCAGAAATTTATATACCTTCATTTTAGATGGGAGAGGGAGATAAGGAATATAGGTCATTGTATTTAGGGGCAATAAGCAGTTGTTAGGGAGCATGAGTAGATTCTTGGGAGAATGAATGGATGAGGGGAATCATTGACTTATTAAGATAACAGAGAAGGGAAGGGAAGTTGATTATTCTTTTTGATGTGTCTGTTTTTTTATGAAGAAAAGAGAAAGCACCTTTCAAGGCCTGTTGATTTCTAGGGTCCTTTAGTTAAAATACTCTTTATACCTAGGAGTAATATTCTTGGGTGAAATTTCCTGAGCTCCTTCAGCACTGACCCCATTTAGAGTCTATGTTACCTGAATGGCTGTTCCCAGCTTTTTGCTTGAAGAAACTCTTTTACTCTGGATTCTGATACTTTTGATTATTTTGAGTTGATAGTCCCATTTAGAATTTATGTTGAAATTTAATTGTCATTACAACAGTATTAAGAGATGGAGTGAGACCCCTCTCTACCAAAAATAGAAAAAAATTATCCAGGTGTGGTGGTGCATGCCTGTATTCCCAGCTACTTGGGAGGCTGAGGCAGAAGGATCACCTGGGCCCAGGAGTTTGAGGTTGCAGTGAGCTATGATGATGCCACTGTACTCTATCTAGCCTTGGCAACAGAGACTATGTCTCAAAAGGAAAAAATAAAATAAAAAGAAATCAGAGCTTAAGAGGTGATCAGGCCAGGAGGCTCTACTCACCCTCATATATATGATTGATTCCATTATAAAAGGGCAAGTTTGGCCCTCTCTTGGTCCTTTGCCTTCTTCTATGAGATGAGAAGACACTCACAAAACTTCTTAAACTCCATTAACTATGAGCCAATAAATTTATGTTCATTATAAATTACCCAGTCTCATACATTCTGTTACAGCAGCACAAAAATGGAGCAAATGGAGTAAATTTAATGTAAGAAAGGATTTAAAACTGAAGGGTAAGAAAAGTAGGAAAAGAAAAAGAAGAAAATTATTACACTAGACAAAACACGGGGAGATTTCAATTGAGACGGTAGTGATAGGAAAGATGAGAAATATAAAGAATCTAGAAATCTGTAGGATTTTAGCTATGCTGGATTTTGTAACTGGTTTGAAACAAATAGTTTGAAGTAAGAAATAATCTAAAATAACATATATTTGTACCTGAGTGACTGAATGAATCACATATTTTTAGTTTATGTGGAAATACAAGAGCCACAGATTTTAAGAGGGAGATAATGTTGAAGAGTTTATTTTTGAGCACCCAAGTAGGTATATCTAGTAGGCAATCGGGTATATGATATAAAAGATAAAGGGTCAAATACTGATGGAGAGTAAAGAGTTTACAGTGTTTGTTGGAGCCAAGAAGGAGAAATACCCAACAAATAGCTAAGAAGAATGATGTACTAGTCAGAGTTCCTGACTACAAGCACTAGACAGTCTTACTTGTTGTCTTTGGCCAAAAAATGATGAACTCAAGGGACACTAGAGAGAAAAATGCTGCATACTCATGGGGATTTGGGAAGCTAGACAGAGAAATGTGTATGCGCTCTTATAAACTCCCCACTTTCACCCCTCACTGTATGGTACCCTGGAGTCTCTGTTGCTGAGAGCTGTTAATAATCCATTTGATTTCTGGTCACTCAGTCTACTAAGTCTTGTGCATCAGAATCATCATTCTTCACCATTGTCAGTTATTGGTAGCACTTGCTACCACTGAACAATGGATGGACTTGGCCCCGACAATCCTTACCTTCCAGC